CCCCCCCCCCCCCCCCGGAACGTCCTGCGAGAGCACGTCTCGAGGAACCCGTGTTGAGCTCGTTAGCGAAAAAGGGAATTTAATCGGACGCCTATGTTTTAGTGAATTCTATTTTTTAGCCGATCTCGCAGGTGGTGGACCTCTTGCTACCGCAGGCCGGAGATGCCGCGAGTCTAGGAGGCTTTCCTCCCCTTTGGATAAGAATAATATGGCCGTACACGGAGAAAAAAAAACTCGTGCGTGGGACCCGAAGTTTTGGTCGTATGGATCTCTGAAGTTTTCAGATTGAGCATCTGAACACTTTAGGTCTAGCTGCCGAGGTTCGGATCATACATCTGAAACTTCAGTTCTTACATCTGAAGTACCTCAGATGTGAGAACCGAAGTACTTCGGATGTGAGAACCGAAGTACTTCAGATGTAATAACTGAAAATTCAGATGTGTGATCCGAACTTCGGCAGCTTGATCTAAAGTGTTCAGATGCTCAATCTGAAAACTTCAGAGATCCATATGACCTAAACTTCGGGTCCCACGCACGAGTTTTTTTCTCCGTGTATGTAGTCGGACATACGTAGGTCATATTCTCACCTTTCGGCCAAATTATCAAAGCGCCATGCGACGTTTAAAAATGTTGACTGCCATTTTATTTTTTTACAAAGAAATTGTTCAACGAAGTCAGGGTGTCCCCAAGTCTGAAATGTCCGAAAAGTCCAGAAATAGTGTTAATTTTTTAAGGGCGGTCCGGAAGTACTGAAAAAGTGCGGAAATTAATTTTTGTCGCGATTTCAAATTTTTGAAATTTCTCGAATTTCGTCAACTGGAGGTACTAAAAAAGTACGGAATTTTTCTGTTGGGGGAGGCACTGAATTTCTTGAGAATGTACTGTAAAAGTACTTATTTTTGACCAGCCTGTTTTAGTAGACACCCTGACGAAGCTGTCCGAAAATTTTATTGAATTTTCTTTGTGCTACCGAGAAAGCTCAGTGAAATTTTCAAACAGATTCAACCAACAATTTTCCTGAAAAAATAAAATGGCGGCGGAAATTTTGAAACGTCGCATGGTACTTGTGATACTTGGCCAAAGAGTGACGACATTAGGAATTGGAGGCAATAGATAAAGAAAATAAAAGAGCGAGGAGAATGAAAGGTCCCTAAAATGATTGATTAGGCGTAAGGTTAAGATTACGCCCCAAAATCCGAATTCCTGCCTCGAGAGGCATACCGCAGATCTCCGACTTATTTCTAAATTTTTCCTGTTATTTCGGAGTGCAAACATTGATGCATATTCGTGTATGTGATATCGGACGGTTATAAAGACGAGAAAAGAATGAAGGGCACGATAATTCGAAATAGAATATTAAATAAAACGACTCAAATTTCGAAAATATTGAAAAATCACGCCAAGTCCTTTCACCGCCTCTTCCAAAATTAATGCTGGATAATTTTCAAGGTCAGAAATGAAAAGTACTGATAAATATATTGGAAGGCATATGATGTATTTATCAAAACGAAGATTTGCCGAGGAACTGTCGCAAGAGGAGACGTCTGACTGTTCAACTCTCCCCCCCCTTTTCCAACCCCCCTGTAACTTCGAAATCGCCTCTCAACCCAAGCTAAAATTTTTTCCTGAGATTTGTGGTACCATAAGCTTCAATTTGGCGCAAGTCCCATCAGGCGAATCGAAAGCCTAAGAAGGGATGAATTTCAGCCTTTTTTCACAGATATCTTTCATTCCTAAAACTCGAAGTCACATTTGATTTTTTATCATTTTCCCGCGGTTCAAAGTACCACGTGGAAATTGCTGAAATCCACGTTCTCTGCGATGGTAGATTCGTGCTGACTCACAATACTTACCGGCAAAATTAAGGCCGAAAATTTAAGAAAAAAAATGGAACATAATTAAACTGCAGGATGATGTCACCCCGAGAGACGTTAATCGATTTGGGCCTCTCTAGACCTCAACAGTAGATCACATTCGTCACTCATCCCTTCAGTCTTGAAATGATGCGCATTATGGTCCAATTTTTTTTCCTGTAATGACTTTTTTGGGAATGTGTTGCCTTGATTTCCCCGCAGAATATAATGTGGAACCAACAATATTCTACCATCCTGTTTTTTACACTGCGGGCCACGAAATTAGTGTTTTTTTCTCCCATTTCGTCGGATCATACCAGCTACGCAGTCCGTTTTGTCCAGAAAAATTTGGGAAAACAGCTTTAACGGTGGCATTTTCCCGCATCCCCCTTTATAGAAAATGAATAAAAAACAATTTTTTGGCGTTCGTGTGTTAATGTCACAAGAGTCATCTCTCAGACGCACGAATGTGATTAAAGTTTAAAGTTGCAAAAATTAGCCACTCTAAAAGTGTGTTTCACCAGGAAACTATTGATATATTCCAACCGAAAATTTTACAGATTTTTCTTTCAATTTGACGGGAAATAATCAGGTTTTGGACAGGTACTACTCAATTAAACTCTTACAAAAAGTCGAAAGGATTGAGTTCATTTCGCAATTATTGTGGAATGGAGGTACGTTTTTTTGTCCAAGGCACGACGAGTTGGGCGCTCATTGACGTGAGGAGTGGTTCTTTTTTTTTGGTTTCCTGCCGGTGACGATTTCTACAGTTGCGTGCAGTGTTAAAATTTCATATCGATCTCAATTTCTTAGTAATAAAAAAAGACACACGTGGTTGTTTTTCGAGGTATTCAATTAAAAATTTCACCTACAAAATGGTTGTTCCAGTATGTAGGTAGCACAGTACGTCCATTTCATTCGGAGGACAGTGTGGTGTGAATAATGAGAGTCAAGCTGCTTGGATTTTGGATATGGTGTCTTTTAGGCACCCGATTTCCATCAATCGCAGGAGAGGTGAGTAATTGACTACTGATATTTAAAGTTAAATAAAATAAACTGTTAAAATACAATTAAAAATATTTAAAATAATAATTCAGTAATGTCCAATACCGATGATTTAATTGAATCAGTAAGTTCGTAAACACACCAACTCGGGTTTTTTTTCGATTTTCACTTTTTTACGGTTTAGTAACACTTATGGATAGAAGCATCTGCACGCAAAAGGAAATCTCGAAATTGCAATCGGAAGTTCTCGAAACAGCGACGGGAAAAGGGAAACATCGAAGTATTTCATTGGAAATACCAATTTTTGGCTATTTCAAGGGAAACGGGTGACCATCCAATTTTGCGGTTTTCTTTTTGCGGTTCAGTATAGCTTTGCACCAACAAGTTATATAAATTTTCAAGCATTATTCAGGTCGAAAAATATACATTTTTCAGGGTAGACTATGAAAAATTAGTATCTGAAAGTCGGTGTGAACAAAAACACACCAACTCGGAAATTCTCAAACGCTTAATTATTCTCTGTCATCAAACATGGTGTATCGATTTCAACTTGGTGCTTTACAAAGTCTCTTAAGTACTTAGTACTTGTCCTTTGGCACCAAAAATATTTTTTGTAAACTAACTTCTTCGCCCGCTGCGCAGTTTTGGGTGTTTCCTGAACAATTTTATTTTTTTCGAATTGGTGTGTTTTCGAACTCACTAATTCAATTGCGGAATTCTTTTGACTGATCATGATCAAGAATTACGGGAATGACAAGTGGGAGAAGAACGCAAATTAAGATTTAAATGCGAGCAGTTTTGGCAAAAATAGATAAATTTGATAAAATTTAAGAACAACATTGAAAGGCATAGTCTCCTTGATCGGTCGGTAGAAGAAGAAGAAGAGAAAAACATATTTAAATGCACCCGGCACTTTATAATGGTGAAAGCTGCAATTTTAATTATAGCTGGTTTTCACGGGGAACAACTTTTGCAACTCAAATAAATCAATTACGATTAGATCACTGTGTTTAGCACAATGTTAATCGGAAGTACACAAGAAAACTACTATATTGTAGTGAGGAACTTCATCCCGAATTATTTTTAGGAGCAAAAAAAAAAAAAAAACAAAAAACGACTGCTTGAAACTACACGTAAAAGAAGTCAAACTTCTGTCAATGAATAGCATTTAATGCCCATATATCGTCACCTTTATTCGGCCAATGCATCACAAGCGCCATGGGTCGTTAAAAAATTTCGGCCGACATTTTTTTTTTTTTTTGTCACAGAGAAATTATTCAACAAGGCTGTCCAAAAATTTCACTGAATTTTCTTTGTATGTATGTATGTACGTATAAAGTCGCTCTTATAGCGCTCTTTGGCACTCTGCGACCCCTAGCCGCCAAAGTCTTTTATCCTCCCAAAGCCCTCCAGGGAGTTGACAAACCCTCATTTCTTCTAAAACCCCCTGTCGCCACCCTCGGGCGTCCCCTTCGTCTCCTCCGAGGAGGAACCCAATCAAGCAACTTCTTTGGCAGCCTTTCGTCCGTCATTCTATTGGCATGACCATACCAGACAAGCTGTCTGGTCATGACGTCGAATATGATGTCATTTTCGACTCCCATGATCTGATGCCGCAATCAGACGCTGAATTTAGCACCTGAATGGAAGTCAACAGTCATCGCCCAACGGCTGAAATTTAGCAAATTCGAGTTATTTTCATCCAGATGTGTATCAAATCTACTCGAATAGTTCAGACAAATTCAAAATTGGTCCGATGGTTGCTGAGAATCGTTGCTGAATTTTGCGCGTGACGCGCAAAATTCAGGTATCGGGCCGATGACTTCCACATTCAAGCCACATTCAGCTCCCACATTCAGCGTGTGATTGCGGTGTGACGCACTCTTTCATTGCGGACCCGATCTCTTCTAGAAATTCCTGCAGACCTCCTCTAGAAATCCATCTCCGTTGCTCTTAGCGTCCTCTGTGTCCGCTCCTTCAGCTGCCAAACTTCACATCCATATGTAAGAATACTCTTGACTACTTGAATTGTCTTTGTGCTGCGGATAAAATTCAGTGAAATTTTCGTTAGAAAATTTTTCTGTTTGAGATTCAACCAACAATTTCTCCGTGAAAAAATAAAAGGGCGGCGGAAATTTTGAAACGTCGCATGGCGCTTGTGATACTTTGACCGGAAGGTGACGATAAAGTGGTGCATCCGTTTTAACATCCAAATATAATCAACGTATAATTTTTGTTTACCCGTAGATCAGTTCACAACTGCGAGGAGAACTAAAAAATCTCGTGTCTTATGATCCGTGCCATCGTACGGGTATAAATCGAAATACAAGAGACTGCCGGGCATCCGTTATGAAGTTCATAGATATCCCGGAAAATGATCGTGGCCCCTGTAAAAATATTCATACTTTTGCCTGTCACTCTAAGTTCTTTGGGTCCGATAAATGTAAAGTGTGGGTCACGGTAAGTAGACATATCAATTAATAGAACTTTGAATGACATCCCATCTTAGTTGGTACATCTTAATGGACCACTAGACAAGGTACGATTTTAAGCATTCTGACGTATGTTTCTTGACCAAAATTTCACGTAACACATGATTTGCGCAACGAAAATTATTGAAATCATCTCCTAATGAAGACAACAATAAAAACACATTAAAATAGGAAGAAGCAAGTGGGTATACGAGGCTAAGGAGAAACAAAACAAACCAGAACGTTTCGGACCAATTGCACGCCCATTCTCAACTGCATGGAACAGAAGCTACAAAATGTAAAAGTTACAACGAGAAAATGAGCATGCATCTGACCGAGGTAGGAATCAGTGCAAACTCCACTCCTCCAGTTTGCATCAAGTTGCCATCTGTTTTAATCAGAGTTGCAATCAGTTTGCATTGATTCCTACCTCGGTCAGTTGCATGCTCATTTTCTCGTTTTAATTTTTACAATTTTTTAGCTGCTGTCCTAGTCGAGAATGGGCGTGTAATGGGCCTGTTGCATGCAAGAGATACAGCCGCGCGAATAGACTTTTTAGAGGTTAAATGACACGAAAAATACGATGGTCACATTAAAAAAGTCTGAAATACACTCCTTACTGCGCAATTTGCGTTGTTAGGAACGCGCTTTTTCAAATTTCCCGCGTCTGGGGGCAGTTTTCTAATCACCGGAAACGAGCAAACGGCGGGCTCGGTGATTTCCGGAAGATGTCGAGTCGTTGTTGTTGTTGTTATTTTTTTCCTTCAATTTGTTTACAAACCCAACGTGATCTCTTATAGTGGTCCATATACGCTTTATGCAGTAACCAAATCGATCAACTTTTAAATATCCAACGCAATCCTTCTACATCTCATTTCACGATATCACGAGCTCCGATTTTTAGGTTATGTTGTCAGTTTTAGTTGATCGGAAATAGCCGCGAGTTGCCGTTAGAAAACTGCCCCCAGACGCGGGAAATTTGAAAAAGCGCGTTCCTAACAACGCAAATTGCGCAGTAAGGAGTGTATTTCAGACTTTTTGAATGTGACCATCGTAATTTTCGTGTCATTTAACCGCTAAAAAGTCAATTCGCACGGCTGTATCTCTTGCATGCAACAGGCCCATTGGCCCGAAACGTCTTGATTCGTTTTATTTCTCCTTAGCCTTGTATACCCATTTAATTTTTGTATTTTAATGGGTTTTTATTGTTGTCTGCATTCGGGCTATTGTGTCTCATCTTTCTCTTATCACTCCTAATGAAGATATGAACGTTTTTATTTTATATTGGTTATGAGAAATTTGAACTGCCCGCTCACAAGGAACTCAAAGTTCTACGTGAGTCAAATCGTGCACTACAACGGTTTCGGCAAGCTTCTCAATCAACTAATGTTCATTTCCTACCTTGTGTTATTCAAACTATATGCAATTTGCTATAGCTGAGCCAAAGTGTCAAGATTGAGGTAGCCAGATATTTATACCGCAGAGACAGTCATGGTAACGTTTAGCGCGCGATGTGACTCACGTAGAGAATTGAGTTTTCATGAGCGGGAGGTTTGAATTCACGAATCGAGAAATTATTTGAACTCACGAATCAAGAAACATTCAATATCTTTGTTAAGCGTTGATTTCAGTGATTTTCATTGTGCGCATCGTGTTTTACGTGAAACGTTGGTTAGGAAACATGTATTTGAATGCTTGAATGCGTACCTTGCCTATTGGTCCATTCCGCATATTTGGACGTATTTCTGCCAAACAGAACTATGTGCATTAGGACACGAGCCTTAAGACCCATAATAATGTATGCATAACAGGGTTCACGTCATAATGAACATAGTGCCGTTTGACAGGAATACGTCCATTTGAATGTGTGCCTCTACACAATCATGGGTATCCCTATCTCCTTTGTTGGTACATCGGAAGATTTAAATGAACGTATTTCTGCCCAGGAACTATGTGCTTTATTGTACTTGCCCACTAATGAACTATGTGTACTTTCTAATGGAACTATGTGCATTATGACGTGAGCCCTTTTATTCATTTATTATTATGGGTCTCAAGGCTCATGTTTTAATGCACACAGCTCCGTTTGGCAGAAATACGTCCAAATGATTATCCGTAATCCCAAACATCCATAAAATCACTACGACGGTGGACAAAATCACTATACTACCACAAAATTACTAGTATGCTTGATTATATGAATTGCATTTTGCAAAAAGGAACCAGGAGCATTGTAATGTTGCTAAAATTTTGCATTTTCTTTTATCTTGGAAGAAAAACCTGATTGTCCATTAACAGTTCTTATTTTACTCGCTAAAAACTATAAATTTAAGACAAAACTTATCATGTAAATTTCATATTTTTTCATGGTTTCAGTAATTTTATCGCAAAGGACGAGGTTGCACAATCTTAGCACCGTTGCAACGTTTCTAGTTCTTTTGCCCAAAATGCAATCCATATTTTTGCACCCCGATCTCCTTTCTTTCGTCCTTATGACTTTTCACGCGATGATGGTAATTTCGGGAAAAAGTCCCATCCTCGGGTTCTTAGAGTGTTTGGCACCGATTCCATTGATCGCACAAGACACAAGATTAGACCAGCAGTTTATTTCATAGAGAAGAAATTGAATGGCAATGCACTAGAGCGCCAATGACGTCAATTGGACTACATTTTGCAATTTGGAACTATAAACTCTAGACCGGTTTAGAAACAACGCATGTGCCATTAGTTTCCATACACATATAAGTCTTTTTTCAGAAGAGCCAGAATTTTATAGTTTTAAATTGCAAAATGCAGTCTAATTCATGAACGGATCACTCGGAGCGCCGAGCACCTTGCTCGCCGGAAAGTGTGAACCAACCAACCAGTGGCGTGGCGTGAATTGCGATTTATCTATTGTTGTGCCATTTAAACCTATGAAAAAAGATCGATTATCAGGGTGTTCGCAGCGAACACCTCAGTAATCGATTCTTTACCATAGTTTCAAATGGCGAGATATCAATAATCGTTTATTCACGCCACGCTACTGCAACCAACATTTTTAAACACGGCTGCCGATAGGAGAATCGCGGGCTGCGAGTAATTTTCGGGTTTTATTCATTTCAATCGATAGTCATTTTCGCGACTTTCGGCAAATTATGTCGATCAAAGTCATAAGAATGGAGATGTTGCATGTGCGAGGAACTTGCGATTTGATTGTTGATTCTTATGAAAAAGTTCGCGAGAACCACGATGGTGCCGCCACTGGTTTTCCCTGAAATCAACTTCCAAGCTCAAAAAAAGCTCTCAAGTTGAAGCCAAAACGGAGGGGATATCCCACGCTATCCTGAGAATCCACCTCTACATCAAGACGAACTCTCCATGCAAAGATAGGGAGCAAATACATTGACAGGGTTGCCGTGATTTCAGTTTTGGAGTCCCCAAATAAAGTGGCAGCCCTGTCAATGTATTTGCTCCCTATTTTTGCATGGGGAGGTTGTCTTGACGTAGATTAGGACTCTCAGGATAGCGAGCCATTTTGGTCTCAACTTTTTGAGCTTGGTAGTTAATTTCAGAGAAAACCAGTGGTCTTATCGTGTTTCTCGCGAACTTTTACATGAGAATCAATTGTCACATAAAATATTCCTCACCCATGCAACATCTCCATTTTCTCAAATGTCTCAAAAATCACGATAAGCGCATCAGCAGATTCTGAAATGCACTCCTAACTTTACAATCTGCGTAAGAAATCTGTGTATGTTTGAGCTTCCCGCTTCAAAAACGATACGACGGCACAGGTGAACATTTCGTTAGAGGAGTCGTTCCATTCAACCCTTTCGCAATAGCAGCACCCAACTTAGCGGACGCTTCCGTGCGCAAATCGCAATCGGGAGCACAAGGTCAATCAAAGCGGATCTTTATCGACGAGAAGAAATCAGGAATGTAAACACGCTGGGTTAGAATCTCGTCCAGGTACATGTGGTTTGGCGGATTGGCGTAGGTCATGTTGGATATTGAGAAGCATCCTATTGAGTAGGGGTCGGATTGAACGACTCCTCTAACGGAATGTTCACCTGTGCCGTAGTATCGTTTTTGAAGCGGGGAGCTCAAAAAACCGCATATTGCATACGCAGATTGTGAAGTTAGGAGTGCATTTCAAACTTTGCCGATGTACTCATCGTGATTTTTAAGAAATTTTCTAAAAGTAACAACTCTCATTTTCGCTCTAGCATAAGTTTGCAACAAGTCCATCATGAATAACAGGGTGTCTAGCATCAGGAAAAATCGGAAAATATCAGGAGTTTTGGCCGATCCGGAACAAATCAGGAAAATATCAGGAAAATCGGACGTTTTATCTAGAATTTTTCCTACGTGAATCTCCTCAGCGGAGAAAGTCTTACTGCTTTTGGCCTACCGTGCCAGGAGCCGAGAAAAATCAGGAAAATATCAGGAATTTTCAAAATGAAAAAATACTAGACACCCTGAATAAGCAACATTTTACAACACTGGGTTAGCGCTGGTTCCTTTTTCCTAAATACGATGCAATGTGTCTCAAATTGTGTAGAGGAGCCGTCATTTGAGTTCGCGTTTCATCACAGTCCCAGTTTGGTTAAATATGTCAAATATTTTTTATGGAAAAATATTCAGAAAGTACTCCTCTTAGCAGTAAAAAAATTTTCTTAATTTTTATTTTTTTCGATACGAGGGTCTGTTTTTCAGGGACCAATTAATTTTCATCAATGCTTGCCATTTTCAGGGACCAGGAATACCAAGCAAACAAGAGGTGACATTGAGTTGGTGTGTACAACAATTTCTCAATCCCTCATGGGAAGAAGCTCCTAAGAAAAAGTCATCACGGAAATTTGGGAAAAAATCCTCATTTAGGAAACAAGGAAGTAAACGAGGCTGAATGAATTTCACCAAAAAATGAGAATTAAACCAAATACCCCCCCCCCCTTTTTATGTGTGATGTGTACCAACTAAATTTAAATTGATTTATAATATAGATAAATAGATAGATAGATAGTAAAATATTAATAGCGTGGCGAAAAAAAATAAGAAGTTATCCATTTTCCTAAAAAATCATCACAACTTTTTCCGTTTAAAGTAGTATATACGAGTACATAATGATTACGAATGCGCTATGAACAGAGTGCTACCTAGACCGAAAAAGTTGGATGTTCCGTACGAACCGAAATTCAGTCCCTGCAACCGAATTTTTTTCTCAGTGTACGTTGATGTGTTCGAATTTATAGCAATTTGAAATAAAGAAACATCGCGAAACAAAGAGCATTATATTATTGACACGATGGAACTTACCTTTTATTCAATTTACATTATTTATATAAAACCAGGAACATATTAGAATGTGAATTGGCTGGCTACGCTATTAAGCAACAAAGAAATAAGACTAGATGATGATCGAGCTACAAACCAAAAAACCAAATGTAATGAAATCGATTACACGATGCTAACTACAAGCAAGCAATTGTCATGTAATGGATCACATTGCATTTTGTTTTTTTAGCTCGTAGCTCGATCATCATTTCTTCCATTCCTAAAAAGAACACAATCTGAAGGTAGTAGTAAAAAACGAGAACGTAAAATTGAAAGGGTTGAAGAAAAATTGAATGAAGATAAAATATGAAGAAAGAGGAAAAAAGGAAAGAGGAATAACCACAAGGTTTCCAGAAAATAAAATGAATAAAATAAATTTGAGAAATTTTGGCGCCCCCTTAGGTGGGGCCTCACGCGAATGCGTGTTTTTCGGCACCACGCGACGGGCCTATACCGTCGTGCTAAGGAAGAACGCCGTATGAGCCTTCAGGCGTTGCCAAATCTCCTTTGATAAACACGAATTTTCTGAAAAATTTGTGAATAATTTTCTTCCAATTTTTTGGAGAATTTAATCCCTGATTTGAGCCCGAGTGTCTAAAAATTTCAAGGGAAAAAATTCATCAACTTTTTCAAAATTAAATATTTTCCGAGATGCACTTTGACAACATTTGAATGTTCATACGACGTAAGGAAGAACGCCGTATGAGCCTTCAGGCGTTGCCAAATCTCCTTTGACAAACACGAATTTTCTGGAAAAATTTTGAATAATTTTTCCAATTTTTTGGAGAATTCAATCCCTGATTTGTGCCCGAGTGTCTAAAAAGTTCAAGGGGAAAAATTCATAAACTTTTTCAAAATTAAATCGTTTCTGAGTGACACTTTGACAACATTCGAATGTTCATACGACGTAAGGAAGAACGCCGTATGAGCCTTCAGGCGTTGCCAAATCTCCTTCGATAAACACGAATTTTCTGAAACATTTGTAAGTATTTTTCTTCGAATTTTTTGGAGACTTTAATCCCGGATTCGAGCCCGAGTGTTTAAAAATTTCAAGGGGAAAAATTCATGAACTTTTTTTAAATTAAATATTTTCCGGGAGACATTTTGACAACATTGGAATGTTCATACGTCGTTTTTCCCTAGCACGGCTGCATGGTGGTACATCCTAATCTCTTTCCGCCTTGGGAAGCTCGAGTGATTTGTTACCTCTTAAGGTTGGAAGTCGCTAGTTATCGGTGTCGCGGCAGGTGTCGAAAGGCTCTGATTGATCGCCGGAAATATGTCGACTGGGTGAGGGCTGCGGGGAGGGGGGGGATTTCGTTTGGTCCAGGCCCAAGTGAGCGTGAAATTCAGCCCAATTTTCACACCAGCGCCTAAACATCGCAGATGCGTTGGTCTCGAACAGTGAAACTATAGTCCCTTTATACACTAGGAAAAAAACACACATTGGATCTAGAGTCGAGACTCTTGAAAACATTGACAAGAAAAAATACTCTTGATTCAATCGGATTTTTGCTTGAATCAAAAGGAAATCCGCTTCAATTAAGAGGCTTGGTTCTTGCTTTAAGCTAGATTTTGATTGAATCAAGAGTTCTTTTCCTTGCCGATGTTTTTAATAGTCTGGACTCTAGATCCAATGTGTTTTTTTTTCAGTGTAGAGAGAGTTAAGACAACGCGGCTGATGGACGTCACGAACGGGAATAAATATTACATGAATCGAACGTTTTTTGTGATCTTTGATCAACCCATTCCCGAATGCTTATATCCGTTCCTTCTCTCATTCCATTTGTTTCTTGCCGTACCCCCGATTCCCCGGTACATTCCAGTTTCTAATCTTTGCAATTTGTGAAAATTTAATCTAAATTCCCGTTTTTGACACTGTGTAGGTCTAAAATAAGGGAACCAATCAGAGACTGATTAGTATTTTCCTTGCTCTCAGTGTAAAGGGCCTCTCATTTGAACTAGAGATGACGATTTTTCGAATAAATCGCTTTGGGAACTTAATTTGATATTCGGTAGAAAAAATCGGTTCGATTTTTTCAGCAACTCGTCATTTTTCTCCAATTTTGAGATCGCAATTCTGTTGTCAGGAGACTAAAGCACTCCTTTACCAATTTTAACAAAAAAATTCAACCTAATAAAGGCGTGGATGTTTTAGAGAGAAAACATAGCATTCGATACTGATATCGAAACTGCATTCGAATGCAATATTTTCTCTCTAAAAAAACCACGCCTTTATCACGTTTAATTTCATTGTTAAAATTGGTAAGAGAGTGCTTTTGTCTCCTTACAACAGAATTGCGATCTCAAAATTGGGGAAAAATGACGAGTAGCTGAAAGAATGGAACCAATTGATGCGATATATCGCATGCCGTTCTGACACAAAATATGGCGTCCATCGAATCACCCTAACGTAGAAAATTTCAATTTTTTGTCAATAATTCGAGTACGGCTCGAACCTTGCTAAAGTTCGAGACAGTCAAACAAAAAACAAATTATATTTTTAATTGAAGCACACCAAAATCGATCGTATCTCAAGTTTTGGATATCATTCTTTCATTTTTAGTTTAGCGAAAACTCCGTAAATAATTCCTTTCAGCACGGATATAAGATTCCACATTCTCGTTCGAAAAATAAAATTTTTATACTCTAAAACGAATCTGGTAATTGCTTCACTATTGAGTGACTGTCAGAGAGTTACGCAGCAACAGGTTATAAATAACTTCCGATGCCATCAAAATGAATGAGTTTGTAATTGGGTTTGTAATCCTCGTTTTAATTCAGTTTGCCAAGAATATCTGTTAGCTGAAATACCTGAAGGTTAACCACGGACAAGAGTAATTAGAAACTTGGAAATGAGACCAGTGGCGTGGCTTGCTTTGCGATTTATCGATTGTTATGCCATTTAAACCTATGGAAAAGGATCGATAAACAGGGTGTTCGCAGCGAAAATCTTAATAATCGATTCGTTACCATAGGTTTAAATGGCATAACAATCGATAAATCGTTATTTACGCCACGCCACTGAATGAGACATTAATTCACTGATCCAGGATCAGGGAAATTGACTGACAACGTTTACGATACTTACATTGTCAACTTGTTCCGGAGTTGCCAGAATTTACTCCTTTATTTACGAGACATTCATCGACGGGCGTAGGCGGATCCAGCACTTTGGCAACGCCGGGTTTCCTTCATATAAACCTGTCTTGAATAATCGATTCTTGTCGTAGCACCTGGTCCCTCGGGGAATCGATACATTTCCATAGGTGTAATTGGGGTGAAAAAAATGTTGCCGATTTGCTGGATCCGCCATTGTCGACGGGGAATTGACCAAAACGTGTACTTATCTCAATTCGTTGTCTTCTACACAAACAAACGTAACCGTATTCGAAAGCTGCAAAATTGACTCACACAATGCGTTTTTTTACTAGAGTATGATTGTGCAATTTCTATCGTAAAAAGGACTGATTTTCTGCGTGCGTTGTTGCAATAGTGTTTTATATTTTAAGTATGAAATGTAGCCCCCCAAAGAGGTTTCAGGACACTTTGTCAACGATTTTTTGTCCACGCACCTTTTTTGTCCTGTAGTTTACGCCCGCACGTAAAATAAGCAACAGTTCGTTGGTCCATGCGTTATATTTTTGTCAGTATGTAAAATTATATTGACAATATGGAAATTAGAACATTTGAAAGAGAAAGAGTCGTTGTTATGGTTGCTTATTTTCTAAATGTTATTACTTTCTCCTTTTGAATCATCTTTTTAAATTGTATTCGGTGAATATTTTCTTTTATTTCTATCCTTAAAATATTCGATGTACAATATACCTCATATATGTATAGGTACTTTTTTTTCATTTTTTAAATTTTTTCTTTACGAAATTGTTACTTCATTTTGAAAACATTTATATTTTTAAAACGTGGCAAATGTTTGTAAAATCTTTTCCACGCGACATTAAGCTCAATGAGCCGCAGTTGTGCCGACAGAAACTGCAAAAATGAATGAAAGAGGGAAAAAAAACCAAGAAGCACGTAATCTTTAGTTTTCACCCATTTGTATATCGATCTTTTAGAATCGAATACGTCAAATTTTAAGCGTTTGGCTGCGCGTACACCTCGCTGCAGCACAATAAAAGCACAACATGTTAAAGAAAAAATTAAAGTGCTTTGGAAATCATTAAATTTGACACAGAACCACCAATATTTAAAAAAACACCCATTATATTATTATTCTCCTTTGATAAATTGATACATATTTTTTCCCCATCTATTTAAATGAGAATAATCAATGCAGAGTGTGCAAACATATCAGAATCATGAGTTAAAAAATGCTGACTATGCGAGTATAAATATTAAAGCCTAACAGAGCGGAGCGGCGTGCTGCCAGCGCGAGAGGCTCACTGGCGCCTACAAACCTAAGCACGCATTGCACAATGCTTGAAGTATCCACTTAGGTTTGTAGGCGCCAATGCGCGTTTTGCGCTGGCCGCCCGCCTGCCGTCGTGCGGTGGCGCCTGAAGCAACTATTTCACAACAGAGGTGTTGCACAGTATTATACGAAATTGAACGTACTAAGAATGACAGGCATCCTTTAAAAGTACAGATCTTTCC